GTCACTTGGGATTGCCAAGGGCCTTGTAAATGTCAGGAATGTAAATGTGTTCATTAATGGCATTCAGTTCGCGAATTGAGTGCCACGCTTCTAAAAATAACCTTTTTGACCTTTGGGAACAGCGGTCAACGATCTTGACGTCGTCAAGGTCAAAATCATGATTGTTTTGTACGCAATGTTGGCTAATAAAGAATTCCTGTCTCCCGTGAAAATCGCTCTCTTGTGTTCTCTAGTCCTGGCTCGTAGGGCTCTCAATGTTTGACCGACATAGACTTTGTCACAGTCTTTACAATTGATTTTATAGATCACTCCTGTTGATAGGTCTTTACTAAATTAGTCTTTAGGTTCTTTTAAAATGGAGCCAACGGTCATAACGGGTTTGTGGGCAACATTGATATTGAACTGATCTGAAATTCTTGCGATTCTCTCTGAAGTTCCTTAAATGTACGGTAAAGTAACAAAACCTCTGTTGGTTTGAGACTGTTTTGTAGAAACAATGGTACTTTGATAGCTTCTAATAAATTGGTCCGTGTAATCACTAATCTTTAGAGCGTCGACAACGTGTTAAACTTCGGATAATTTGTCTGCGTCAGTTGAAGGGATGTTCTTTGCTCTGTCGAGAAGAGTTCTTGCTACTGAGCGTTTGTGTTGAGAAGGGTGGTGAGAGTTGAATTGGAGGTATTTGTCAGTGTGTGTGGCTTTCCTGCAGACGCTAGTTTTTATAGTTCCATCGAGATTCCTGGTTGTCATGGTGTCCAGAGATGCGATGAATCCGTCTTTTTCTTCTTCCACTGTAAATCTGATATGTTGATTAATTGAATTAAGGTCGGAGTGGAACTCTGTAAGATGTTCACGAGCGATGCAGACATGGCTATCGTTGACATATCTATACCACCACTTAGGAGGGTGGGGTGCGGTGTTTAAAGCTCTTTCTTCGACGTGTCTGCGCTACCACCATTGAGGTGCTACCTCTTTTTTTCAATACAGTCGCTAACCCTCTTTGACGTTGATTTTTTTAGGCTCAACCTTTTGCCAGGGAACTTCTAGAAAATAGGCAAGGAGGCCAACTTAGGGAACTTCACGTTTTTCGCGGAAAAAGCCCGCAGGAACACACCCTAGCTGAAATTGTCATCCACACGTCAGCAGCCTTACAGTGTGTTGGTTCAGGCTCATTGGCTCAGCCTCTTTATACGCTAATGACAAATCCATCCAAGCTGAAGGTGGGTGTAATTGAGTGATATTTGATCCTGCTCTCATTTACAAACAAAATCGATTACTTCTTTAAGAAAATGCTAAGATGCGGGAAAAGTTATCATTGTGTTCGTTAATAGTGTGCTAAATTTCATTGGAAAATAAAATTGGTTATAATTGGCGCGCCGGTAGTAAATCGAGAGGAAAAATAGCAGGAAAACTGGATTGTCCTTGTTATATTTCGCAGTAGCCTGGCAGTAGCTAAGACTGACCTTTATTTCCTTTGTATTTTGGAACTAAACAGAATTCATTCCTACCAACCATGCCAGACGATGAGTACACCAAAGCCATGAAGGGAATTCTGGATCGTGGGAAGTGGTATGGTAAGTGTTTTTGAGTTTAAAACTTTTTTGCCTTTCACCCGTCGTCATGACGGAAACGATACGTCTAGGTGATTCTTGTGACTTTGACACCTGGGGGAAAAATGGTCCTTTAAGATGTCTCTCTAACAATTACAGTGACAGTTGTATTTAAGTACTTAACACATTTTCTCTTACCTTTTCAGAGTGCGGAAATTGTAGCCTTCCTTATTTCATTGGCGAGGTTAGTGCATGTTATTCAGAGACTACATGTGCCTTGTTTCTGCTAGGGTTTCACAATTTTTTATGCTCTGTGGTCGTTTGTATAATTCAGTTATCGTATTTTTCCGTGCTAGTGTTCGAGACCAATGCAGAAGACTAAGTGTAATGAGTGCGGAAATATACTGGGAGGAGCGGATCACAAGTTCCAGGGAAAATACAGGGAGTGTGATAGGTAACTCGAAACATGTCTATTCTTAGCAATTGGATAACTTAGAAGCTACCTGATGATTGTCCTCAAGTATAAAAGTAATGTTTCGACTTCTTGCATGTTCAAGTAACAGAGCTAAATTATAACCGATGTCACTAGTTTTTAACTGACTGTAGCGTTTAGGATAGTGAGTAAACTAATTGAAAGAGTTGTTTTTAACCAACTTTATGAATATTTAAGAAGCTGTCTCTGTAAAAACCGACCACTGATTTTACTTCGAAAATTCGATTTTTCTCATAAGCTGGGATTTCGAAGCCCTTACCTAGTCAATCACTAAAATGAGTTTTATTTGATTAAAATTCTAATTGAAGTTTTCTACGATTGATTGAAGTTCGGTCCGCTCAACACAAGTTGCATGCCTGCCGAAACTGGAAAATAGCACATACTGCCGGCGCTCTAAAAAAAGTAATATTCGCTCAAAAGTCTTAATTCTTTTTTTCAACTATACATATATCATAGCAGTTTGTTAGCCATGTTGTAATTATAATTCAATATCGTTCATTCAACGGTTAAAAGAAGACTTTCTATCCGTTAAATCGAGTTTTGAACCAAAGCGAAAATAGCTCTACTTTGAAGGCACGTTTTAAAAATGTGGCACTTGTTTGAAACTGCTGAACTACATGAATAGAACGTGTAAATGTCCCTTAATTCAAAACAATAATAAAATTTGTCTGCCCACTAGGTTTTCAAAACCAACGACCGTTTAAAGTTCAGGAAATTTTGAAAATATTCCAGCGAGTAACTAACACACTCGCCTTCGTAAAGTTTCCAGTTTCGGCAGGCATGCAACTTGTGTCTAGCGGACCGAACTTCAATCAATCGTAGAAAACTTCTATTAGAATTTTTAATCAAATAAAACTCATTTAAGTCATTGACTAGGTAAGGGCTTCGAAATTCCAGTTTATGAGAAAAATCGAATTTTCGAAGTAAAATCGGCGGTCGGTTTTTACAGCGACAGCCTCCTAAATAACAATCCTTATTAACCGAATCGCAGTCTGGTTTCAGACCCAAGTTTTCTACTGAAACAGCTTTACTAGAGGTGACAAACGAATGGCTCTGGAATATTGATAACAAACACCTCAATCGGGTAGTATTTCTAGATTTGAAAAAAGCTTTTGAAACCATGGACCATGCTATTCTATTAGAAAAGCTTAAACTCTATGGGTCGATTGTCGGTGGTGTAGCAGCTCTCGCAAGTTTGTAATTCTATTTGTTGTCATTGTAGCAGCTGTTATTGTTTTGGGACTAGGGGCATTGTTTCTGTTGTTTGTTCTGTTGTCCTCTCAAAGGGTTCCAAGCCATGCGAGACCTTACGAGAGCTGCAGCATGACCCTCAATTGTCTGTCTGAAATGATTTCGGTCCTACTTATCTGACAGAAAGCGGCAAACCTTTTTTTAATGGAGCTCAGTCTGATTTCTGAAAGGTGATATGTGGTATTCCATAAGGCCCTATCTTAGACCTCTCTTATTTACTATTTACAGTAACGATCTTCACTTATGAAAATTTTTTTTAAAATAATTTTTTTAAATTTTTTTTAAATTTTTTTTAAAAAATTTTTTAAAAAAAATTTTTTTTTCAAAATTTTTTTTTAAAATAATACTAGTGAGCAGCACTTCAGCAACAGATCTTGTCAACTTGCTTTATTTTCTCC